CAGGAAAAACACCGTTTTTGAGACAACAATGCCAGTCATTAAGATTTAAATGTTCTGGTGATAATGTAAGGAATAGCACCTGCCTTGCAAACAGCACTTATGGAAATGCCCAGAGCTAGAGGGTGGTGTTATCTCCAGCCCCCAGCCCTGGGGCCAGAGGGCTTGGGGCTCAGAAGGGCACACACGGCGCTGGGCTGGCACCCACCGGGTCACAACACTGGAGAAACAAAACACCAGTGACACCAAAAATGCGTTTTGGAAGAGTCCATAGCTAAAACCAAGGCTTACCGTGCTGCTTCTGCACCGTTTCGTTGCTCTTCCCGAGCCCACCAAGCAGAAAGCGGCCGGTCTCGCCCTCCGCCACAGCAGCTCATCGGGCTCAATGCACCTCAGTCCTGCTGCCGGTCCCCAAAGGGGCAACGTGGAGTTTCCAGACGAGGCACTTAAAGGCCAAGATTTTCAGACTCAAATACAAACACTCTGCTGTCCAGCTCTTGGGAAATATCATGAGACATGTTTTAAGCCCTTTCAAAATCCTACCTGGTGTTGAGAAACTGGTGTAGAGCAACTGGGGCTGAGGCAGCCCAGGAACCTGGCAGTGGCTTTGGAGTGTTGTGGTTGGGACCCAGCTCTCAGTTAATGGTTTATTATCTAAGGAACAGGAACGTTAGCAGTGACATACAGAGGTCTGAATAATCACAAACTGGTTTGGGTTGGAAGGGACATAAAAAGCCATGTAGTTCCACCCCCCCTGCCACGGGCCCAGGCATATCCCACTAGACCAGGCTGCTCAGAATAAGCAGCTAGCTGTTTTTCTGCTACCAGAGCAACAATAGTTTGGGTCTTGTTTTGAAACAAGGATGAGTGGAGGTTCTGCCTGAAACCTGTTTGGCTAACAGGGGAAGCAGCAGAAGATGCTTCAGCCCATTGTTGCTGCTGTTTGACACTTCTGCAAAGCCCTTCCTTCCCCTGGTCCAGGACAGTTCATACACAACATGAAAAATAAGGGCTGTTTCTGCTTTGGATTTAGTTCTTTTCCAAGGCCAAGTGCAGCCCCAGCAGTAAGTGCAGAGCTGGCAGACAGCTCAGCCCCCTGCGTGCTCATCCCTGGGCATGGCAGGACGGGGATCCGCAGGCTCCGGGTTTCTCATCGAGGTACTCGCTGGTGCTAGAAAAGGGGGTGTGCTGCAGGCAGGGGCTCCCTAGAAGCCCTCATCATCCCATCTGAAGGGCACTGTGCTCACTGCCCTCCCCCATCTCCACCAGGCTGCTGCCTCCCACTCCCAGAAAGCCGCCTCAGAGGTGACTGCATCTCAGGAGTGGGGCTGTTTGTGTAATAGTTTGCAACCCTTCAACATAAAAGGGTATAGAAGGATGCAAGTTATTATTATGAAAATGAACCAAGCAACAGACAAAAATATTCACAAGATGTAATCTGCCATCCCTACAATGCTCTCGCACAGAAGAGCACTTGGCAGGCAGAAGAGTAGTCGCCAGATACATTGCCTTTTGTTAAATTGCTTTTGCTCTGACAATGCCTTTTAAAACCACATGCAATCTTAATTTAAAATACCTAATACCTAAAGGTATTGGGGCCCAATGCTGGTCTTCAGTTTGGGATTTGTCTAAAGCAATTCCACTGGCTTAATACCACTATTCCTCATTTCAATCACACAACAAATGTAGAAGGCTGAATTCCTCTTGTAGGAAACCATGGCCCTGATCCAAACATCACTAAAAATCAACTGAGCAAAGATTTACTTCTTTAAAGAAGTGATGCCTGCCTGCCACCTCACTTCTGTTCCAACCTTTGTCACGTTCAACTAAGATGGAAGACCCCTCCCTGTGTAGCCAGCTTTATCACGCAAGGTGGGGGTAAATGCAAAACTCAGCCTTTTTATTGTATTCATTGTTTTAGAAAATGGTTAAAAGTAAGGAACTGATAAATACATTAGCAAAAGAAAACATATTTTTGTTTTCTGAAGACTGAGTAATGGAAAAAAACCCAAAATGAACCAACCAGCATTTTCATGCCAGTTAGTCTCTGTGTTTGCCAGAGCAGCCTGCACGTCCTTCCCAAGAAATCCCCAGCACACGCAGCCCAAAAGCTCTAGAGCCAGAAGTCTGGGTGCAGGAGCTGGTTCTGCACACATTGCTCCAGCACTTCATTAAACACTCCCAGGGGACTGCAGAGGCCTGTCAGGTGCCACTTTTACCCTCTGACTCCCTGAAGGGAGCCAAGAACTGGGAAGCAAGAACCAGCACTGCTGGTGCCATTCATCACAAGGTGCAGGTGTGTTTCATAGCAGGGCGAAGCCATCCTCGGGCTCCCCCATCCATCAGCTCCTCACAGCCTCCCAACTTCATTAATAACCTCCTTCCCCATGCTAATACCGTCAGAAAATTATGCAGACTGTTTATATTTCCTTACAGCCAGAACAGGCTGGTGACACGAATCAGCCATTAGCGATTCACATGGCAGAGTCTCCGCTAATTGTGCAGAATGTAATTAGTGATTATGTAATATCTAAGCTCTTGCAACTGCCATTAATGTCCACTATTCACCAGAGATAGTTCTTACTGAATTAGAGAATGATTACTGCATGGTAAATCTACTTAATCCTAAATATGCTAATTAACACTGTATGCACTTTAGACAGTGGTTAAAAGCACTAGTAACCTCAAACAAGGTTGCAATACACCACGCTCTAAATTGCTTGCAATGGATTTTCCTTCAAAAGGTAAATTTGTTTAATTAAACAGTATTGTAAACTGTGAGGCACAGCTATTGATTAGTGCAACCCAAGCAAGGATTTTCTGTAATGGATCTAGTGAGGTGCCACAACAGGACAAGTGATGCTCCTGCAGCACCTTAGTCCTCCCACAGCATCCCAGTCTTCCTGCAGCACCCTGGTCCTCTCTTCCACAGCACCCCAGTCCTCCTGTAGCATCGTGGTCCACTTGCAGTGTGCCAGTCCTCCATCATGTAGCATCCTGGTTCAGGCACAGCCTCAGTGGAGCTTCCCAGCACGGGGGGCTTCACGCATGCCCATACACATGTGGATGCTCCCAAACAGGCACAAGATCCCCAGTGGAGTCTCATGTAAAATAGCTTTCTGAAAGCTCTCCCTCCAGGGTTAAATCCTACCCATTTGATGCTTGCTGGGTTTTATTATCGTATTCCTTAGGTCATAAACCACAGCATTACTACAGGCAGATACAGTAGCTTCCCTCAATAAATTCTTACTTAAATCTGAATTTTAAGATTTATTTGTGCAAAACAGACTTTAGATATTAAATGTTACCTACTAAATGAATGGAATAAATAGAGCAATTGTACAGTTTTTGAAATGACTCTTTTGAATGCCTGGGGTGTTTAATGTATTCTGGTTTTCCATAAAAAAAGATATGGCTGTCATGAACCCCAAGGATAATAGCATTTTGTGATTTATGAAGATTCTTCCTGCTTATATATTTTATATAAATAATACTCCTGTGTGTATCTCTGCACTCATTCATAATCAAAAGCTGCACAGACTATAAAAAGAGTTTGCGTAGTAACATATTTAAAATCAGCTTACAAAAATTGGATAACTAATATATCAGACACAAAATAAGTCATTGTAGCAAGCACACCAAAAGGAAAATTAACAGCACAATGCAATCCACAGCATGCTTTTATCAGCAGATTGACACAACAAAAGAACACAAAACAAAAATTCCCACAAAAGAAAGTTCCTCAGTAAAAAACAAGAAGTGGAAAGCATGATAAGAAATTAAGCACACTCTTAATTTACCTGGGTGTATGAAATGTTTGCAGCCGACAGATTGCAAGGGCTCTCTGACAGCTGCAGTGCATCTCAAAAGTGCACAGCCCTGCTGATACAAGGGGACTCCTGGTGGGAGATGGGGGGGACAGCTGGCTGGAGATGGGGGCTGGGCAATGCACCCCCTCAGCCCCTGGTGTTCCGGGGTGCAGGTTCCAGCCCTTGGCTGCTCTCCTCTGCAGGGCCAGCAGCATCCCCTGTTCATGGGAGTGGAGGGTGTCCCAGGACCAAGGTCTGTGGGAGATGCTGACAACACTTTCTGCAGTGAAAAAACGTGGCTCCAGATGAAAATTCAGAGTCCAGAGTTTTAGACCAATACAATGTCTTTGAAGTTGGACCTTTGGTAATACTTCTGGATTTATTCATGCTGATTTATTTAAAAACACTTCAAAGCCCAGCTGACCTTGACCTTTTTTCATTGTCATTCTTGGGCATGGATCCACCTCAAGTCAGCACCAGCTGGAGGATGCTCAGGAGTCCTGCGGTGCTGGGCTCTGGGGTGCCCGGTGCTGGAGCAAAGCTGGATTTGAAACAGCTCAGTTTGGCAGGTAACAAATGCATTTGATATTTCAATTCATTTTTTAATCAAAGTTTCAGGAAGATTTAGACTAAGCAGACTCAGTATGCAGGGGCAGCAGCCTTATAATCTAGTGACTTAACAGTCCTCATGCATTTACTTTATAAAGGAGCTATGACAGCCTGTGGCATGGAGAAGGACATGTCTCCGGTGCCTAAATAAAGATTTACACAGAGACCTGACCGTAATACTGACTTAGAGAATTGTTTCCAATCATCATTGTCAATAACACAGGCCTTGAACTCAGCAAACTCTGCCTGCCCTGAAAAAGGTTTGCAGGGTCAGCTCCACATGTTTTAAATGCCTCTATACATACGGCAGCCTGTAATTAAGAGATAAAAGTATATGTGCAGAAGTGGGGAAGGAGGAGGGCAGGTTAAGTCTGTGACTTCACACATGGCAATCCTGAGCTATGGATGGCTCTCACGTGGCTTTGAAAACCTGTATGGTTTTGAAAACCTGGAGATGTTAAAAAAAATGAGTAGAAGGGGCCCTTCAGGACATGGTTTAGTGGCATGGTGATGTTGGGTTGACAGTTGGACCTGATGATCTCAGATGTCTTTTCCAATCTTAATGATTCAATGATTTTGTGATTCTATTTTGCAAAACTTATGGCTGCTTTGGCAGTCGTGTGCCTTCAGCAGCAGTGTCCAACCTGCCACCAGAGGAACAAGGAACAAACAGCCCGTTGGCAGCTGTGGCAGCATTCCTTTGGAAGGCCAAATACCGCCTGCCAGCCAAAGCTTGTACCCTATCGTTATTTTTAATTAGCAACCCCTAATTATCACCAGAGCAACTTGCAAGGGAGCTGAGCAGTAGCATGATTAAAAAAGAAGTAAAGACCCCAGCTGTGTGGGGTCTGAGGTGGGGCAGAGCAGGCAGGGGGTGCTCTGAGGAAGGCTGCCCTGGCGAGCAGCAGGATGCTGACCGCTCATTCCCTGGAAGTGTCTGATTTGGCCAACACCTACTT